TTGAGCCTAATAATATGTTACAATTTTTGTCTCTAAATCATGACCTGCCAATACTTGATGATAAAGATATGATGACACCATGACTACACCTTATTTATCAATGCACAATAAGATGACAAAGAACAATATAGTAACTATCACTATTCTACATTTTGAACACAATAAAAACTGTGGCATATGGGAAACTCACTATAGCAAGAGTACAGTCATTGTTATCTCAGACAATAAGTAGAGAGCATAAAAAGCAGACAATAGTTGAACCATTCAAATACCTTTGAATGTCATCTATGCAAGACACAATGGCCTTATCTTTAGTGACACTGAAATTGCCTTTATTCTTGTTTTCAATATGTATGACAAAGACTAAATGCCACTCACCCTTGGAAATATAAAGCCAGTCTATGTTATTGCAATTTTCTCATCCTCTTTCTTTCTTATCTCACACAAAGAGCTTGATAGTCATTGACTTCAAGCAGTTTTTGCAGAATAACATTGCTCTGTAAGAACATGTGATTATTAGCTGTTGAATCAGTCAGACCTCATATACTCTTTCACAAGGGAACCATTTTCTATCTCACACTCTAGAGAATATTGCTGCAGCAGACTTTGGCTTATATTCTCACCTGCTGATTGTAGATCATGACTTTAGTTCACATCAAGCTTCCTGTGCCTCTCTGCTTTCCAGAAACAGTATTCCATCCCCTATAGACACTAGCTATATAATGTTGACTCCTAGTGCACAACCTGACTCTGCATCTGAGCTCAGCCCAGTGGCTCTGCAGAATTCTCCTTCAGTGACATTCACAGCATCACTGAAATTCTTACTTCCACTCTTTACATTTGCTCAAGTCCAACAGATTATCTCACAACTTATACAATAAGCCACACCTGCATTTCTCATGCAACTCCTCTCAGCCTCTGCTATAATCTCTCAGTTCATTCCTGCTGTGACATCTCCATATAAGTCCTTTCTTGAATGCTTTTCTGAGTTAGAATAAGCCATTCTGCTTTCTGTTATCAAGTATAAAATGCATCTGTTTGAGATTGTGAAGCTCAACTCATCTCTCTGTCTCAGAGCTGATGCAACAGATGCTAATCCTGATGTTCCTTATCTTCTGCATAAAGATTTCCCTGATATCACCTCAGTTCTCTTCTGTCTCAGCATCTATTTTCATATACTTGCATAATATGCTGCTTTCTGTAGTCATTTGAATCATGGTCTCCAGATATTAAATGATTCTCATTGCTATGCTAATCACTTGATCTTACTGTTATTGCAGTATGAGTGGAATGCTGTCTTGTCATACCATATTGAGTATTATCAGCATCAGCATTATAAGATGAAAAATGATGACTTCACTGGCTGGAGACTGGCTAGCTAGAAATTGATTATAAATTACCTGACTATACATGTTTATGCATCCACCTCCTCCTCATCTGATAGAAAAGCTGCTAGATCTAAGTGATCTGAGCAGCATTGTTTTGCATGGAATAAGAGGAAGTGCTCTAAGGGTTTCTCCCATGACTAAAAACATGTGTGCAAACATTGCAACTCTGCTGATCATCCAGAAAAAGATTGCACTAAAGAAAAGAGGAAGAAAAAAGCCTGAGAAACTGACAGAGCAAGAAGGACTTGCTTTTGATATAGTGCCGCTTGCTTCAGCTAGCAGCTACTTTTCTTGGTATCTTTGTCATCAGATAATTTATCTTCAGCTCCTTCTTTCATTTCTTTGCTCCTTCATATGGCATTGTTTCCCTCACTGCATTTCCCTCCTTTTTGTTTTAACATCAACCCACACTGCAATAATCTTTTCCATCATTCTTCCTTGCTCTCTGTTTCTTCTTCTCTTTCTTATAAAGCATGGGAGCACTATTTATAAGATTATCCTGATTGTGCTTTTGTATATACTATCCTCTATATAATTCAATATAGTGCTTCTATTGAGTTTGAAGGTGATGAGCATGTTCAATCTTGTTGCAATCTGTCTTCAGCATTTGAATATCAGCAATTTGTCAATAACTCATTTGATAACCTGGCAGCCAGAGGTATGCTCTCTGGGCCTTTTTCATCTTTTTCTATGAAGAACTTTTGCTGTTCTCCACTTGAGGTTGTTACTTATAAGTGCAAACCTGAAAAATTATACATTATCAACCATCTTTCATAGTCTCACCCATCTTCTGTTAATGATGATATTCCTGACTCAGAATCTCATATCTCTTATAACATGTTTGAGAAAGTGGCCAAGGACCTCATTCTTTTAGAGCCAGATTCTAAGATGTCAAAATTAGATCTTAAAGATGCATTTCATCAGATTTCCATTCAGTCCTCAGACTGGCATTATCTTAGAATTTCTTGGAGCCATAAATTTTATTTTTCACAGGTGCTTATCTTCAAGTTGAAGACCACCCCATATATCTTTAACTTGTTTGTGGAAGCACTGAATTGAATTATCCAATATCATATACCTGCTGCTATATATTATTATTTAGATGATTTTCTTCAGATTTTCTTCTCATACACTCTAGATACTATATCTACTACAGCTGTGAAGTGGATACTAGCTCTTAGTTATGAGCTTGGTCTTTCTTTCCAGGAATCCAAGACAGAATAGCCCTCATGTGTCATTGAGTTTCTTGGCATCATTCTTGACTCTGTGCACATGGAAGCTTATCTATCAGTTGATAAGCTCTCATACCTTCATGACCTCCTCCACACATGGTAAATCAAGAGCTTATATACTCTCTGTGAGCTGAATGAACTTATAGGGTATCTCCAATTCTGTTCACAGATTATCCCTCACTCATGCCTATTTCTCTATTGGCTATATAATTTTGCCTCTTCCTTTTTATCTAAGTTCTCCATCCAGCACATCCCATTAGGTGTTGCCTCTGATATCAACTGGTGGAGTGTCTTCAGCTTGAGATAGAATAAAATCTGCCTGTTGAAAAAAAGAGTGAGAGGTAGTTTCTGTTTTCACAGATACTAGCAGTTGAAAAGGCTTGGATGGCCATTTTAGTGATAAGTGGTTCTCTTCTTGTTATCCACATCACTTGAGGAGCCATGACATCTAGTATAAGGAGCTGTATGCTGTCTTGCAAGTCATTTTGTGCTGAGGTGACTTATAGTCAGGAAAGACAGTCAATTTTCATTGCAATAATCAGAATATGATTAGCTGGCTCAATTCTGGAATGAGTCAGTCTTCACATAGCATGACAGTCCTTTGGGTTATATCTAATAAGGATTTAGAGGATCAGTGAGATGAGGAGATAGAAAATAGTGAAATCATCCTTGCTATTGACATGAAGCTGGTGATCTATATATAAGCAGTTCACTGTACCAACTTAGCTGCTAAGGCTAATACAGGAAAAAAGACCAAAGCATTCAAAGAGATAGTATCTGAGTGAGCACAAGATTATCAAGATCTATTTAACAAAGAAAATTTCAATGAATTACTAAAACTGAAGCCTTAGAACCATGTGATTGAGCTGGTCTCAAATGTGAATGCTAATTCAGATTGCAAAGTGTATCCACTCAGTATCTCAGAGCAACAGGAGCTCAACAAGTTTCTGAATAAAAATCTATCTAGCAGACATATCTGACTATCAAAGTCACCCATGGCCTCTCTCTTCTTCTTCATCAAGAAGAAGGATGGAAAGTTACATCTAGTATAAGATTACTAAAAGCTTAATGAAATGATGATTAAGAACTGATACCCACTTTCTCTCATCTCAGAGTTGATGGACAAGCTGCATAACACTTGATACTATTTAAAGCTTAATGTCAGATAGGAATACAATAATGTTTGGATCAAGAAGGGGAATGAATGGAAGATGGCATTCAAAACAAATCTGAGACTTTTTGAGCCTATAGTAATGTTCTTTAAACTAACCAACTCTCTAGCAACTTTTCAGTAGATGATAAATAACATCTTCAAAGATCTCATTGCCATCAGAAAAGTTACAATATACCTTGACAATATTCTTATTATATCTAAAGATCAGAAAGAGCATCAATGCCTTATACAATAGATACTAAAACTTATGTAAAAGCACAAGCTATTTCTCAAAGCTGAAAAGTGCAAGTTTGAGGTTCTAGAAATAAAGTATCTCAGAGTCATCATCAGTGAAAGAAGCATCCACATAGACCCAATAAAGATAGCAGGAGTAATGGAGTGGCCAGCATCAATAAAGAAAAAAGAGTTGTAATCATTTTTAGGATTTACCAACTTCTATTGCTGGTTTATTTGAGACTATAGCAAGATCATCCAACCTATGATCCAGTTAACAGACAATGCCTCTTGGACATGAGGACCCTCACAGCAAGCCACATTCAATAATCTGAAGCAACAATTAGTGAAGGACATGGTACTAGCAGTGTTGATAAAAGAAGGAAGATTCTGCATAGGGAGAGACTCAAGTGAAAGAGCAATAGACACTATATAAGAGCAGGATAAAAAGTGGCAACCAATTGCTTTTCTTTTAAAGGCACTAACCATTATCAAATGCAACTATGAAATCTATAACAAGAAGCTTTTGGAAATCATGCTCATCTTATCTGAATGATGACACTATCTGATTGAAGTGACTCAAATATTTGAAATCTGAACAGACTATCAAAATCTTCAATATTTCTGACCATCCTAGAAACTCAATTAGCAACAAGCATGTAGGTAAAGGCTTGGCTATTACACTTTAAGATATGGATGAACACCAGAGAAGATAGAGGAGATATGTTTTATTGGTACCAAGTAGCTATATACTTATACTATTTGTAGAGTGGCATGTAATAAGACAAAGATAACTGGCAAAGACAATGCAAAATATTGAAAGAAAGGGGGAGGCTAACTAATAGTGACAAGTAAACACTGTATAGACAAAGAAAGGTAAAAGAAAGGTAAGGTAACAAAGGAAATAGTCAAAGAAATGGTCTAGAGCAGGTGAATCCTTTACATCCTATACAAACTTCAATTTTCAGCCTCCAAGCTGAAACATACATCATATCATATGTCATTGATGCTATCATCAAAAAGTCCCATGAGGTGTGATGTGTCTGTGAACTCAGCAATCTTGAACTCATTCCTTGACCTTGCATAGTAGAGTACAAGCCAAAAAGCTGCAAATTTAAGCCGAGATACTGTGCCATCCAGTTCTGCAAGATAGTATGCTCCTCCTTGGATATGCTGGACTACAACCATGAGACTGAAATGGCAAGAACAAAACTTCCTGTTGGTACCAACTTTGATTTTCTTGTTAAAGACAAGGACTAGGATGCCAGGCTTGAAGTTGTAGTTATGGATGGTGTTCATAAATCGCTGCTGGAAGTCCTTAATCGATTGGAATCTGGCTCTGATGATGCAGTGCTCAAGGTTAGCCAAGTCTTTGTCCCATTTCTCAAGTTGATATGTGTGCATGTACAACAGCTTGGACTCAGATACTTTCCTGGTGATCTCAGGGAATAAGAACATTGCAAGCAGGATATCAAATGAGAGGAGTGGTTCAACACCATAGGCTACAAAGAAGGAGGAAGTGTGTGTGTGGTGAGATGTCATGATTTGGTCAGCCCAAAAGACCAGGTGAGCCTTACTTGGCCAGGCTCATTCATTCCCTTCACACAGCTTCTTTAGTGCATCATGGATGGGCCAGTGTGCAATCTCGATGAGGCCATTAGCTTGAGAGTTGTAGGCTGAAATGCAGATGTGGTGGATGCTGTATGTCTTGGTCAGGTATTCTACTGTGGTGACTATTGGAGGTCTATTATCTGTGATAAGGATCTCTACAATACCACCTCAATGATATAAGATTTCTTCAAAGATGAATCGGCTGACTGTTTCACCTGTCTCTGCTTGAAGCATCTGGAACTTGGGCCAGTGAGTGAGGCTACACCTCCCTTAAATGATGTATTAATATCCAGAAGCCTTTGGTAGATGCATGGTGTCAATATAGCACTTCTGGAACAGGCCTGCAGGCATGGAGATCTTTGAAGATAAGCATATGTGTTCTGTGGACTCTAGTTGACACTCATAGCATGTCTTCAGGTACCATCAGATATCATTGTCCATTCCTAGCCACCAAAAACAGTCTTAAAGCTGCCATCAGGTCAGGTAGAACCTCTTTCAATGACCTAGTTTATCATGCCCAGCACAGAGGATTGCCAGCCATCCAGAATGTGAAATGACAAGCTGATGTTGACCTCCTGGGTTATAGTGGAACAGTTTCTCCTCAAGGACAAAGAACTGGCAGGCCTGCTGCTGGAGTGCTGGGAGTCTTATTTGTGGGACTAATAGTGGGCATTCGAGCTTCATGAGATAGTGCTGAATGTGGGCTATGGCAAGTTCCTGTGGTGTATGCTTCTCATTCCATGAGGGTAGATCCTCATTGTTGATTCTAGAAACAGTTGCTGTAAATGCCTGTGAAAGCAGGGTCTCCTGTGATGGACTATCGGATATGCTAACTTTCTCACACAGAAATGTTGCTACTCAGATGCTGCAATCTAATACATCATCATCGATCCAGTCTTCTGCCTCATTGTCTGGTATGTCCCCTATGTTCTTTGTGTGCTTGCATCTTGACAAACCATCAGGTCCTTTGAAGTGTTCCACCAGGATGTGGATCAAGGTGAAGTTGAACATGAGAATGGCTGCAATTCATCTGTTGACTGACATGTTTGGGTGTAGGTCAGGATTATTAAGCATACCCTTAATATACTTGGCATTTATTTCCATGATAAAGTGCTCGAGACTGACCAGATAAATTCATACAGCATGCAGGGCATACCACAGTCCATGAAGTTCGATCTTTGCCTGTGAGTAGCATAATTCGACATTGGACCAGGCTAATAATCCAAAATGAGCAATGTGTTGATGGTCATTGATCCCTTCTTATTGTAGCAGGAATCCACAAGCAAGTTCTGATGAGTCCATGGAGAGTATGACATTTTGACCAAAAGTGTAGTCGATAGGACATATCACTGAGCAGGTGGCAATGGCAGATTTCAAGATATTCATAGCATCTTGCTGCTCCTGGGCTCAAGTGAAGGGAATGTCACAGATAGTGAGCCTGATGAGTGGCCATGCAATAGCAGCAAAGTCCTGAATCTATATCCAAACAGTGCCTGAAAGTCCCAAGAAGCTATGGACCTGTTTGACATTATGGCAAGAGGGCCAGGACTTGATCTTCCATACTGCAATGTTTCCAGGTAGGTGCCCATCATAGCTGCAAAGTTGGCTGAGAATAACAAGTTCAGGCACACCAATCCAGAGCTTCTTTGCTGATACTGAAGCTCCTGCATGCTTAAAGCAGTGGAGAACCTGGTGTACATTCAGTAAGTGCTCCTATACAAACTTCCAGATATTGCTATTGTCTAGATACCTCTCATAATCATTGCCAGAGAGTTCATAGTGAGTTTGCATACCCAGGACATTGATGTTGTCAATGAAGTTTGGTGCTACATCAGTTTTATGTTGCAGGATGAACACAATATCATGGTAGAAGATGTTGACAGAGCTTGTCCACCCCTGGGGCAATGTAGTGAGATGCATAGGGCCAAGGTGAGTGTCAATGGTGGTAACATCATATGAGGAGATATCCAGAGTGTGCTGATCATAGCCAGATAGCAAGTCAATGCCTGTATAGATGCCATGGCCAGCTGCATGCTCACAGTATTGGTCTGGGAGAGAAGGTTGTCCAGTAGTCCATATGATATGTCTGTTCATTTCATCTGGGTTGATGACAATCCTAATCTTCCCATCTTTCTTCAAAACACAGAACCACTGTGTCCAGTATGAGCTGTCAGAAGGTTCCCAGAGACCTTGGCACACCTTTTCTTCTACTTGTGCAATAACTTGATTTTGGATGTCTGGAGGCACAGGAATAGATCGGTGTGCCCAAGGTTCATGTTCAACAAGTGGAATGATGACCAGGCTGATATAGTCATCTCATAGGCAACCATGTTCTTTATTGGTAAACATGATAGCATTTTGATTGTACATCAGAATATTGACTGCCAAACGGTGTTCCTCTGGCCATAAAAACTCATTTGTCAAGATTCCAAGCATGTCTAGATGTTGGTGTGTGAGGTGAGAAGATGGTTGAAAGTCAGTCAGGAAAGGGGATAGCAGTGGCAAGGATAGGAGGGGATCTTTAGGGAATTATCTTTGGATTTTTGCATGCTCAGGCAGGGTGGCAGGTATGGAGTTAGCTTTCTTGTTCATGCTTTTATACAGGAGACAATGTGTATCTGTATTGAATGCAAAGGTATCAGAAAGTACATGGTTGGTGAATGTATAAGTTTCAATGATTGCCAGATCTGTGTTTGGTTCTTTGTTTAGGCAGGCATTCAGGTTCTGCCACCATTTCTTTACCACATCATCTAAGGTGTTCAAGATACTAAATGTCCTTCCTGCTGGTTGTTCTCATTCCTCTGTTACTATTTCCTGATACTGAGGGTTGGTGACAGCCAGTTCCCAAATCTTAACAGTTACTCCAGTTGCCATTTCCCACTTCTGCAGGTGGACTGCTCTCTGCCATGGGCAACCCAAAAGGACACAGTAGAGAGCCTTTGGGACTATGAAGGCATGTGCAATAGTTGTCAAGCCATCAACTATAATCTTTAGCTTCTCAGCATATCTAGGGAGTTTGTCTTGTGCACCTGCTGCTGTTTCCATCACCATGCTCCTATGCCTGTTAACATCAAGGCCATATTCTTCTGCCAGATCCTGGTGGATGACCATGATTTCAGAGCCCTCATCTAGCAGAGCAGGTTCTGGTTGTTTCTCAGCAATGGAGACATTTATGGTGCACAATAGCATGGCATATTCGAGTATGGGAGTAGCAAGAATGGCCTGAGTAAGGGTGGTTGTTGCCTGGATCAGTATATGACTCATCTTCTCATGCATTATGGCTTCTTTTGCCAAATCTTTGCTGATAGTATATAGGTCTCATACTGGGAGTGTGATGAGTGTGTTCAGAATCTTCTAGTATACTCAAGGAATGGCTGTTGGATCATCCAATAGAGACTCGTTTCTGTATGTGGGCTGGTATTCATTCAGTAAGGGAGCTTCTTCTTGTATTTTCTGGTCTGAATTTCTTTCAGTAAATAAGACTTTTTCATTCTTCTTCTGGGTTGTCATTGCTGCTATTTCTGTGCATTTTTTGGAATCCTCTACATCGACATTAGTGCATTCCATCCTAAGGAAACCCCACCAGACATCATCACTTTCTTTGGTGAGTATAGCAACATGTACAATATCAGGCTCGTCATTTACTTCTTCTATAAAAGCCATCATGGGGCACTCAGAGCCTTTGTCAATCGCTGTGCAGTCTAAAAATCCTGTGAGGCAGACTGAGCAGTCAGAGGATTGGAAGCAGACTGGGGGGTAGTTGGAGAGGGCAATGGTCTGCCAAAGACTCTATGAACAGCAGCCTTCAAGCATGTATGCTGCTGGGCATGACAGATGGGGCTATCATCATGGAAACAGAATCTTCAGTTTACAAGAATGACATGGCCAACCTCAATGTAGAGTGGGACTCAGGTGCAGTCAGCTATGAAGTGGTTGGGCTCGCCACAGAAAAAACAGCCAGCAGGTTGTGCAGGGAAGGAGGATGTGTTCTGAGCCTGCAATGCAGGATTCTTGAACTGATATGTTGTTGCAAAAGTTAAATCAGTCTAGAGGGCATCTAACAGCCTGCCTCTATTACATTCTTAATGGAGGAGGGTTCATCACAGTCTCAGCTGAAATCGACATGACAAATGTGGTCCTCTATACACTCTCTAGTTGTTAAGCCCAGGCATCACATGATTAGATACACATGATAAACAGATGTCCCTTCACACTTTGGGGGATCACCTGAGTTCACTTGTTGCATATCATAGTCAGTGTGGCACAAGGTCAGAGATAGACTTGAGATAGAATGGTGATTGTAAACTTTAGCTTGAAGCTAGGATTTCTATCCAGCTAGAGCTAGCCCTTAAATACTGTATATGTCCTGCTAATAATACTACATGCTTATTGTGGGTTTCTCTGTCCATTGTGCTTATTGTCCTTGAGCATCATTACCATACATAAAAGGGTATTGTCTGCAGTCATCATTGGTTTTAGGAGTAGGTAGGTTTAGCTTGTTGTGCTGACTAAGCTTCATCCCACAGTCTTAAGTGCCAGATTAGACACCTTGACTAAGCAGGAATAGAGGTTATAAGGAGAAAGAAAATGGAAGAATCATAACATTACCTCCTCCTTAAGACCATCATCCCAATGGCTTAATTTAGGGATAGTTCATAGTTGTGTATAGCATCATCCACATCCATGTGTTTTTCGTTTACCCATTAGTTTGATTCAGGGCCATAACCCTTCCAGCTGATTAGATAGTCCACCATTGTTGTCATTTCCCCTCCTTTTGCCTTGATTTTTTAGAGTTTATAGTTTAGTACCTGATTGATTTCATAGTGTTCCTCCTCATCTATCAGGTCTGGCGGTGGAGGTGGTGGGCATTCTTGGTTTGGAAAGGCAGGTGCAATGTATGGGAAGAGAAGTGTTTCATTAAAGATGTCATATATTTTCCAACCGATAGGTAGGCAAAGTTTGTAGGTGCTATTTCCTACTTTTGAGATAATTGGGAAGGGGCCTGTCTGTTTATCTGCCAGTTTATATTTTGGTTATGGTAGGTGCAAATTTGTTGTGTCCAGCCAGACCTTGTCACCCAGCAAATATGTATGTGCTGGGTGGCAATGTTTGTTGTATTGGGCCTTCATTGATGAGACAGCCTTTTCGAGTGTGGCCTTTGTTTCAGCATGGATTTTTGTCATGGTTGTGATAAAATCTGTGGATATGAGGGTCATGGTTCAGTGGTGCTTGGT